ACCACGTCTCCTCACCCCTCACCCCGTCTCCTCACCCCTCATCCTCACCCCTCACCCTCACCACGTCTCCTCACCCCTCACCACGTCTCCTCACCCCTCACCCCGTCTCCTCACCCCTCATCCTCACCCCTCACCCTCACCACGTCTCCTCACCCCTCACCACGTCTCCTCACCCCTCACCCCGTCTCCTCACCCCTCATCCTCACCCCTCACCCTCACCACGTCTCCTCACCCCTCACCACGTCTCCTCACCCTCACCACGTCTCCTCACCCCGTCTCCTCACCCCTCATCCTCACCCCTCACCCTCACCACGTCTCCTCACCCCTCACCCCTGACCCTCACCCTTGACCCTCACCCTCACCCTGACCCTCACCCTCACCCCTCACCCTGACCCCTGACCCTCACCAAGGCGTCGCGACAGCTGCAGCTCCTCGTTGAGCCACCTGCACAGCAGCTCCGTCATCTCACCGCGCCGAACGTCGCCGCCGGCTCTCTCGCGCCGTCGCTTGCGTCCCTGTTAACGTCGGTCGACGTCGTTTGCTGACGCCGTTGTTGTTGTTGTCTTGTTTGTTGTCGTTGTTGTTGTTTGTTTGTTGTTTGTTTGTTGTCAACAACGCGCGGTGCCCGCGGCGCGAGGCCTCAACGGGAGTGGTGAGGCCTGAGACGCGTCACCATGGCGACGGCGGCCACGCACCACGTGACCGCGGTCACAGGTTTATTTTTAAATTCTTTGGTTCTTTCGGTAAAGTCACGTAGAAGGGAAACAATAAAAATAAAATAAAAAATATAAAAAAAAATTCTCACGACGTTTCGACTGCAACATAAGCAATCATCATCAGGTGTGAAATCCACAGCAAGAAAATTTGGATTTAAAATGTGGATTTCACACCTGATGATGATTGCTTGTGTTGCAGTCGAAACGTCGTGAGAATTTTTATTGTTTTATATTTATGTTATTTTATTATTTCCCTTCTAAGTGACTTTACCGAAAGAACCAAGAATATGAATCCCTGCAGTCACGAAAGCTTTAAATCGAGGTTTATTTTTGTTTAAATTTAACAACCTCCAGAACGGCTCAATGAACAGTAGTTATTTACCGGTCTGTCCTCTGTCCTCTTCAAGTGAGCACTCACGACAACAACAACAACAACCGTCATTCGACGCGGTTATTGTTGTTGTTGTGACGTCACCATGGCGCTCGTGCCAAGCTAGGTGCCAGGCTAGGTGCACGTGGAGTGTAGAAGGCTCGCTCGCTGACAGAAGGTCACGGGACAGACCCAGCAGGTGCCATGGGTTGGCTGACTGAGATGACCACTGGTAGATGCACCACCAGCTGTACCCCCCTGCTGTGCCAGGCTAGGTGCAGGAGGTCTCGGAACAGACCCTGCAGGTGCCATGGGTTGGCTGACTGAGATGACCGGTAGATGCACCACCAGCTGTACCTCCCTACTGTGCCAGGCTAGGTGCAGGAGATCTTGGGATAGACCCAGCAGGTGCCATGGGTTGGCTGACTGAGATGACCGGTAGATGCACCACCAGCTGTACCCCCCTACTGTGCCAGGCTAGGTGCAGGAGATCTTGGGACAGACCCTGCAGGTGCCATGGGTTGACTGAGATGACCGGTAGATGCACCACCAGCTGTACCCCCTACTGTGCCAGGCTAGGTGCAGGAGCTCTCGGGACAGACCCAGCAGGTGCCATGGGTTGACTGAGATGACCGGTAGATGCACCACCAGCTGTACCCCCATACTGTGCCAGGCTAGGTGCAGGAGATCTTGGGATAGACCCAGCAGGTGCCATGGGTTGGCCGACTGAGATGCCCGGTAGATGCACCACCAGCTGTACCCTCCTACTGTGCCAGGCTAGGTGCAGGAGATCTTGGGACAGACCCAGCAGGTGCCATGGGTTGGCTGACTGAGATGACCGGTAGATGCACCACCAGCTGTACCTTCCTACTGTGCCAGGCTAGGTGCAGGAGATCTTGGGATAGACCCAGCAGGTGCCATGGGTTGGCCGACTGAGATGCCCGGTAGATGCACCACCAGCTGTACCCTCCTACTGTGCCAGGCTAGGTGCAGGAGATCTTGGGACAGACCCAGCAGGTGCCATGGGTTGGCTGACTGAGATGACCGGTAGATGCACCACCAGCTGTACCTCCCTACTGTGCCAGGCTAGGTGCAGGAGATCTTGGGATAGACCCAGCAGGTGCCATGGGTTGGCTGACTGAGATGACCGGTAGATGCACCACCAGCTGTACCCCCTACTGTGCCAGGCTAGGTGCAGGAGATCTTGGGACAGACCCTGCAGGTGCAATGGGTTGGCTGACTGAGATGACCACTGGTAGATGCACCACCAGCTGTTACCCCCTACTGTGCCAGGCTAGGTGCAGGAGATATTGGGACAGACCCAGCAGGTGCCATGGGTTGGCCGACTGAGATGACCGGTAGATGCACCACCAGCTGTACCCACCACCGTGCCACTTGGCTGCGTTTTATCCACCCAGCGCTCCGCTCGTTGTTGTGAGCGTCGCTCCTCTGCCCTCCGTTGTTTCTGAAGGGCGACTGCCTCCAACTGCCCAGTAGCAGCAGCGTCCTTCACGAGCCTCCTCCTCCACAGAGGCCGATCTTGACACCCCTGCTACCGGTCATTGGAGAGTCCAATAATATCCACATTCTCCTGTGCCACGTCAGCCTATCTCTTCTCTAGCCCGTTACCGTGCCCGTTTAGCCCCCTGGATCCGGTCAAACAGAAGCTGCTTGGGCTTGGGGTGGCTGAGCACCATGACCCAGCCAACGCAGCCTCGCCTGCCGAAGGAGTTCACCGATGGGACTGTGTCCAGATCTTTCATTGATTTTCGAGCTCCTCATACAATCAATCCGACCGAGTTAAACCCATGGTGAATCGTAAGCAGGCCATACTGAAAGTTTCAAACCGGCGCAAATGTGGCCATAGCAAAGAACCCTCGAACCCCCCATATAGCCTTAACACAGTTGGGGGGAAGTGCTGTTCGCGAGCACCTATTAAGGCCGGCACGGCCCATAATGGGATGGGTGGCCAGCACGACGCCCGGATGATTTCGTCTTCCCGATGCTGATATGATAACTATACGGTCCATAGTTTTTGGTTGCATAACCGTAATCCCAGCAGTGTGGTTTGCCTTTAATTTTCCATTCACGAACGAGATGACATTTCAATGTATTTATTTAAAGAATGCGAATTCCCTAAGCCAAGCGGTTGCTTCCCGTCCAGCTGCATTGAGGGCGAGTTGACCTCCACTGAGCTTGTGGATTGGGCAGACTTCTAGGATGTGGTACACGATTTTCTCCACCCCACAGGCACATAGGGGGCTTTGCTCTTATGTCCCATCGCTGGAGGCTGGCGAGGCGTGGGCCATGAGCAGTTCTGAACCTTTCGATTTAAAGCTTTCGTGACTGCTGGGATTCATCTTCTTGGTTCTTTCGGTAAAGTCACGTAGAATGGAAATAATAAAAATAAACATAATAAAATAATTCTCACGATTTAAAGCTTTCGTGACTGCAGGGATTCATCTTCTTGGTTCTTTCAATAAAGTCACGTAGAATGGAAATAATAAAAAATAAACATAATAAAATAATTCTCACGATTTAAAGCTTTCGTGACTGCAGGGATTCATCTTCTTGGTTCTTTCAATAAAGTCACGTAGAATGGAAATAATAAAAAATAAACATAATAAAATAATTCTCACGATTTAAAGCTTTCGTGACTGCAGGAATTCATCTTCTTGGTTCTTTCAATAAAGTCACGTAGAATGGAAATAATAAAAATAAACATAATAAAATAATTCTCACGATTTAAAGCTTTCGTGACTGCAGGGATTCATCTTCTTGGTTCTTTCAATAAAGTCACGTAGAATGGAAATAATAAAAAATAAACATAATAAAATAATTCTCACAATTTAAAGCTTTCGTGACTGCAGGGATTCATCTTCTTGGTTCTTTCAATAAAGTCACGTAGAATGGAAATAATAAAAATAAACATAATAAAATCATTCTCACGATTTAAAGCTTTCGTGACTGCAGGGATTCATCTTCTTGGTTCTTTCGGTAAAGTCACGTAGAATGGAAATAATAAAAAATAAACATAATAAAATAATTCTCACAAAGTTTCGGCCACAACGCAAGCAGCCGTCAGGTGGAGAACAGGTCTGTCGAGAAAACAGGTCTGTCTTCTCGACAGACCTGTTCTCCACCTGAGGACGGCTGCTTGCGTTGTGGCCGAAACGTCGTGAAAATTATTTTATTATGTTTTATTTTTATTATTTTATTATTTCCATTCGACGTGACTTTACCGAAAGAACCAAGAAGATGAGCCCTGAACCTGTTGAGGGCCGTGACCAGTCACAGTATTTTTTTTTAAAGTTAGTCCGTGTTTTTTTTTCATAATCTTAATTTCTTAATCATTTTTAGCAACAACTAAAACACCTTTGGTATATAACTGCGACTGTGCCACTGTGGTCATCCAGCAACGTATAACGAGGCAATGCCCCCAAATCACAAATACAAAGGAGACATCACAGAGATGATACACTCCGCGACTCCTGACAGCGGTTATCTGGCTTGACCCACCGGAATGTGAAATTTTAGTCGTGGCTCTGCATTTACATCAGCCGTATGAAAGAAGAAGACTTCACCATTACAGTATTATTATCATCATACTCGTCATGTGTGTGCATTATATAAGGCAAGTGGCTCTTAACCTGGGGTGTTACGCACACCCTGAGGACACGAGATGCTCTTTCTGGCGGTGCGAGACATGGCAAGATTTTGTTGAGAAGGTAAATAATCGAAAACAAATTCAGCACGGGCACGTAAGTCACAACTTACTTTGTTTCATTAAACCTCCTACGTATTTATTGACATAATACATTTTTTTAACGATCCAGAACCAAAGGGGTGCAAGGCTGCAGTAAAGTCTAAGGACCACTGGTGTATCAGGAGACACACGAAGGACGAACATTGCATTTTGGTTGTATGTTTTTAATTTGCACGTTCCTTTGTACAGTGAATGGTCTATGGTGTTGTGGCCGCTGTCGTCGTGATTATCGATCGCGATGTGCAACCACTTTGCGCGGCGCTTCTTGGTTTAACGACGCGAGTGAGTGAGGAGGAGGTGCGCCGTTGAAATTCCACGTTACCATGACGGTTTTCTTTATTTACAGATCCTCTGCACAGCTCAGCACACACACACACACACGTGTGTAGGTAGGCAAGCAGAGCTTTACCCCAGTAAACCTGACCAACATTGAGCGCAATCGTTGGACACAACAACTGGTTTTGACTACGTGCCAAAAATAACGTTAGCCCAACGTTGTCGAGCGTGTTCGTTGAGTTAGTGTGGCGTGCTTGAGGTGTGAACGTATCGAGACAGAGAGACGTGCGGCGATTCTGGTGATGGCTTCGCAACAAAGTAGGCAGCAGGGCAGCTGTCACGGTGGTATCACGTGGAGACGACGGTGGTCCGATGATGATGATGATGGTGGTGGTGGTGTTGGTTGTGGTGTAGTCACTACAGCTCACGGTAGGCCAACTCTTTCGCCTTGTCCATGGATTCCTCAACTGCGTTCAGGAGAGGGCAAAACGTTACATTATAAACGAGACGACGGCGACGATTACAATTATAATGCTGTTGATATTATCCTTGTTATTTTTGTATTGTTATGACGTTTGTTTACCCACAAAAGCCTCAGCAAGATATTAATAACCTCGCGTGGTATAGAGGAGGTTGTGGGTTCGATCCCGACCCTGACGCCTGTATATTTGGAGTTTGCGTGTCTCTCTCTCTCACTGTGGTAACATGGATTTTTGTCCGGGTCCTCCAGAGTTTGCATGCTCTCTCCCCGTAGTCACGTGGAATTTTCCCTCCACATTTAAGAAACATGCGTTTAATAGTATCTTAAACGCATGCTATACATTTCTACATGATAAGCCAATTCTTTGAGCTGCACCTCAACCATGGCAACCAATTGATCACTTTTCGATTTAAAGCTTTCGTGACTGCAGAGATTCATATTCTTGGTTCTTTCGGTAAAGTCACGTAGAAGGGAAATAAAATAAAAATCTCACGACGTTTCGATTGCAACACAAGCAATCATCATCAGGTGTGAAAACCACAGCAAGAACATTTGACGATGGCTTGTGTTGCAATCGAAACGTCGTGAGAATTTTATTGTGTTATTTTAATTATTTTATTATTTCCCTTCTACGTGACTTTACCGAAAGAACCAAGAATACAATTTATCACTGCTGATATTAAGTGCAGGCACAGTAGAGTGAAAACATTACACAGCGTCAGCATAGGCCACTGCTGAGCACACATGTGGAACAGTTGATGGTCCATACATTCGTGAACATGGTTTGGTAGAGAGCACGAGGACATGTGGATGATTACACAGCCTGACTTCACCTGTGCAGCTGCAAAGAGTGTAAAACGCCACAATAATTCGCGAAGTTCTGCAAGGTTTAGTCATTGCCACCCGTGCAAAACTCGTGCTCTGTAAACAACGAGCAACTTTATTCCCGGAGTCAAGGATGTAATGTGTGGAAACAGAAAGGGATGGGAAACAGGGAAGAGAGAAGAGAAAGAATAAGAAATAAGAGGAAAAGGATGGAAACATGGGAGAAAAGGGCCAGGGGAGATGAGGATCGGGGGCGGGGAGGAGAAGGAAGGGATTCAGCGTCGGGGTGACCGCACAGAAGTCACATGGTTTACAGGAGGCTTGGGCTGATTATAGACAGACGAGAGCAAAGCAGCAAAACGGTTCACTTGACAAAATACTTACTTTGTTTGCTCAGAGAGTAGTAATACTTGTACTGATGGGCACTCTTGTTGTAGACCTCTTTCATCACCTGCCCATTTGGATCTGCACAGAGAACGTACCACTTGAGCCTTTCTTCCATCATGATGATAGAAAAATTAAATTCAACCTTTAACGTGGCGCACAGTATTCACTCGCTCTCCAAAGCAGAGGATGGCTCAGAGGCGCGAGGAACTGCAGACAAGCAGGAAGGTAGCCACGTGGTGAGCCGGTGCCAACAGTTACCCAAGCAGGGAGTGCAACGGGTAGTGCAGCAGGGCATTCATAAGGTAGTGCACAAAATGTGCAGCAGGGGTGCAGCAGCAGAATGTGCAGAATTTTACACCGGCACACATAACTCACGGAGAAACAAGATGCGCGGGGCGTAGTGTCCGTCCAACGCAAATTGGTCTCCTTTGGGGTCCTCCTGCCCAGCACGCACACGCACACGCGTACACAACCCGTTAAATTTATTCCACTTGAGGACCCGGACCAGGATGCTCTTTCACGCGAGAGCTGAGCTGCTGTTAAAACACCTGGCAATGCCGGATGTCGTCTCCAGAAAACCATCGTCCAAAAAAAGTGTCAACATTTTGCTCGGGCCTTTCAACATTCCTCATCCTCCGGGTTTGTCCTGAAAAACCAAAACCAGCCGGCTGATTCGCCCATCAGCTGGCAACTTGATTGGTTCTGTCGTTGGGTGGTGGAGGGTTATAGTTAAACATTATACCGGCACGATGGTCTGACCCAAACATTATTTTTTATGAATCAGCCACTTTCAGGATTGAACTCGCCTTCAGAGTGTGCCGACTCAACTTCTGGCCTCGTTATCAAACGTCAGACGATCCCAAACGCCACCGCTGCCACCGTCCGGCTGATTGACAACAGCAGCGGTGGTGGTTACGCTGCACGTGGCTTGTAATCCAGCATTTGTGGAGGCAGCAGCGAGGTTTGGTGACTAGCAAACAAAGAGTAAAACTCTTTTTGAGTGTCGATCATGTACCATAGCCTGACTTGCCAGGAGAAGGCCGTGCAGTATAAGTGCGGGATAATCTTCATCTGTTCCAACTCCCTTCTTGCGTGACTTACAGGAGGCTAGAGCTGGTTTAGATACAGATGATGATAATGATGGTGGTGATTATGTGTGCGACGCACCTCTGTCTGAACCATCACAAAGTCCCCGCTCATTCGATAAATCTTCGTGCTCCCGGAAATCTGAGGCTTCAAATCTGGAGACGAAAACAAAAACAACAACAACACAGGTCATGTGGGGTACATACGGCAGTAACGGCCTGGACACACATGGCAGTAATGGACTGGATAGAGTCACGCGAGCGATGCTCACCGTGTCATCGTTTTGTGTCGCGTTAAGAAATAAATGTCTATGGCAATGAGCGGATCACGGCTACGACTTTTTGAAAAACCGAGAAACGAAAGCAGCTGCCACGGCGGTGGGGTAACGGTCATCAGCGTGCTAGGACTTGCAACCTGAAAGTCGCCGGTTTGATTCCATCTCCGGGTGCGGCAGTTGAAAGTAATGGACAAGGGACTTAATTTCCCCCGATCTCTGTCCACCCAGCGTTATAAATGAGAATCACCACAGTTAGCCAATCGGCAGGTTGCACGTGGTGGTAAGATATAGGGTGGGTACGCCCACCTCTTTCAAGACGTGTGGTCCGCGTGGAAGAGTAGGCCGAATACCTGACATACAGCTCGCTCGAGGAGTGGAGGCCCCTTCCGCGAGCAGTGGCATGAGCAGGCAATCGCAGGGCTGCGCCTGCGCATTTTATTCACCCGCACCGCTGTGGCGTCTGTACGTTCGCGAGTGCCAATCAGCGGACTCTTCACTAAAATTCAACTGACTTAATGAGTAGATATTTAAAACTTGTAATGTGCCGCTGGAGTCTTTGCTCGCTCTCAGAGGTGCGAGGAGGAAACACAGACGAGCAGGAAAGAGCCACCGGTCAGCCGGTGCTACCGACAATTACCCATGCTCTGCAATCCTCTGGATACGAAGATGTTACCTGCTAACTAGTGAGCGTTAATACACGTGGGATGAAACCTGAGCACCAGGAGAAACCCTACCACCGAGTACCGTGTCAGGACGCGAGGCATGGGGATTTACCCTGGCAGCGGGGACACCAATCCTTGTGCAGAACGAGCATGAGCGGCTTTCCACTGCCACAGAACAACACAGAGAGCATGTTAATTAATACGCTTGCTTACTCAGGAAAGCCTCACTCTTTGTCCAGAGGGTCCTGCCAGATTATTGTGGGCAGTAGGGGGGGAGGGGGGAGATGTCGCTGCTGCTGTGCGATCCCAATTGGGTGATTTACAGGCGGTTCAGCATTGGGTTGTGGTTTGTCTAATACCACCGGTCTATACTGTACGGTTGTGTTAGCTATGGAGACCCACCTTACTTGGCGCCGACAAGTGAGGTGGTTCTCCGATTAGCTCGGTTGGTGAACTTACGGTGTGCGTAGGAAGTTCAACATACAGCGCAGCAAATCACAACAGCTTTACTGGCCTCTCCTGCATGTCTGAGAGGACCTGGAGCCGGGCTCGGCGACTGGATATCTGTGAAAAAAGAGCTTTGCATCTCATCGGATTCCTCCAGTACGAACAAATATTCTGATTTTAGCCGCACGCAGTACCTGGCCTTGGCTTTCTCCAGACCCATCTCCAGCGTGGGCACCCAGTCGATGTGTTCCCCAAACCCTGCACGCAACGAACAGAACCGAACAAATGGACATTCATTGACCGCCCCCACTCCCGTAGGACATGAAGTTACCGTCAACGCGGTTTCATCGCTCGCGATACGACGATGCGAGATGGATCGATACAGAATCCGATGAGCTATAAAGTTATACTCTTGGTTCTTTCGGTAAAGTCACGTAGGTATAAAATAAAATAGATCACGACGTTTCGGATGCAACACAAGCGTCCGTCGTCAGGTGGGAAAGTGATGACGGACGCTTTTGTTGCGCCCGAAACGTCGTGATCTATTTTATTTTACCGAAAGAACCAAAGAGTATGGATTCCTGCAGTCACGAAAGCTTCAAATCAGCCATAAAGCTCTTTGTCACAGATGTCCAGCGTGGGGCACGGGGTCAGAAGGTTACAACAAACCATACAAAAACACGATAGGAGTGCAAAGTATAGGAAAGGAAAACAAATTACTTCAAAAATACATACAAATAAAACTCTTTTTTTTCTCTCGCCAGGTAACGCCCAACGAGGTATAAACTTATTTTACAGAAACGACCTGGCCCTAAATGACAGCTCAACGAAGTGGCTTATCACGTGGAAATATACAGCAGCCAAATAGTCTTAAACAATCAAAACAAGGAGTATAGTGATGGCAGTTTCCCGTGAATAATTGGCAGCGGAGGGTTTGTCCAATAAACGAACGGCTGTTGACTTCGCCACAAAATTGGTGCCGGTTGTTATCGACCCAGGTGGAGGATTTAACACAGCTGTCAACCCCTTATCAGTGCCCCCTACCTTATTACAGACCAATTCAGACATTGTTGGTCACCCCGTGCCCCTTATAAAGCTCAACGTTCATCCTACAAAGTCCCATCACGAGGGAGAAACTCAAACAAATAGACAATCACCACTACTACACTCACCACTAGTACACTCACCAATACATACCTGTCAACCCCTTATCAGTGCCCTACATTACAGATCAATTAAGACCTTATTGGTCACCCCGTGCCACTTATAAATCTCAACGTTCATCCTACAAAGTCCCATCACGAACGATAAACACAAACAGACACATTTTTTATGTCCGGATTGAAACGGCTGTACGCTGTATGGACCTGAAAACTCAATTCCCTGTACAAGAAGACGGGGTAGACCGTACGGGTTCACAGTTCATGAGTTAATAATAGGCCGAATCAACCCCCCAAACCACTCGACTACCACTGAGTCACCTGTACCACTGACTTTACACCTTGACGTTAGATACTATCAGCGTTGATGTTATCAGTCGCTGAACTCTTTGACGGAGCATTGCAAGGTGTAAATTGGCCTATATTTGGGCCGCAATGAAACAAGGGGGCTTTGTTAATGAGGCGGATATCGTAGGGGTACCCAACCGCCGTTGAATTACTCCAGTACAGGGCTGCATCCTTTTCCACTGTAGACCAAACCCGGACAACATCTCTCTCAGTCAGCCTTGGTCAATCGAATCAAATCCTGCCACCACCACCCGAACAGAGACGTCCAATGCCTGGGACTCTCCGGGTTCAACCTGGACAGGTAGCAACCCCATTAGACGGGATGAGTGGACGAGTTTACTCAGTGACTGGGAGAATGAGTTGATGATTGCGTTAAGTCAGTGGTAGTGTAGCCACCTTTTCCACCGTAGATCAAACCCGCATTCATCACTCCGTCAGCCACGGTCGATACAAACTGCGCGGTAGTCTGTGATCAAGTTCAACGACTGCAATACCAAATCTCTCGGTTGCCAATCGACATCCTGCCACCTGAACACAGATGCCAATTACCAGGCTATTTAGCTCTGAACCCCGGGTCAAACCCTGGACAGCTGGCGACCCCTACTCTAATATCCGCCCACGAAGCGGCATTTGGCTGGCCATCAAACAAAGACGGTGGTCACCGCATCACGTGCTTTCAGATGCACTCCTGCGGCCGTCTGGAACGCTCTTTCTTCCGATATTAGGAAGCCGCCGGGACAACGCACTTTTAAATAATCTCGATTGACAAACTCATTTCTTTAGAACTGCCTTTTGCGTTTGAGTTTGTTGACCTTCCCCGGCACCTCCGATGAGCACGGTTGGCTACGTACGGTGGTGCGAAAGAAGTTCACCGTGCGCACATACAAACCACATCTGTGACACCCCCTAAGAGTCCCCGGTGGTGCTGTTACTCACCATCTCCCTTGGACCTCTTCTTGCGTGCCTCGCTGGCAGCCAGCAGGCCGAGTAGGAGGAAGAGCAGCACTGTCCCGCGCATGGCTTTGGTTGATGGGGTTGTCGCGGAGGAGTCCGTGGTTGTAGTCTCGGCTGTAACAGCCTGTGAGGGGGGCGGTGGGGGGCACGCGGGGCCGTGCGCGGGAGCGGTTATAAAGTGAGCGGGAGGGCCCTTGTCGCCTGGGTCTATCCGGCCCGGGAGTGCGGCCGGCCGGCCCTTGTCACGGCCGCGAAGGAGGTCTCGAGGGCCCTTGTGGACAAAGTACACGTAAGGCATTAGAGAAGACGCACCCAAACGATCAATAGAGAGAAAACATTTTACAAAAGTAAAGGACAACTTTACCTCGGTGATCTCGTCAAGGAGTGTAAACCATCATCACGTGAACTCCGGTCCAGCCTCGCAGAGGCAGCTTTTGGCTGACCATCGAACAAAGACGGTCACCGGGTCACGCGCTTTCAGATGCGCTTCTGCGGCCGTCTGGAACGTTTTTCCTTCCGATATTAAGAAGCCACTGGCGCTATGCACGTTTAAATCATCTAGATTGAAAACGCATTTCTTTAGAACTGCTTTAAGTGTTTACTTTGTCCTTCCCCGCACCTCCGATGAGTGCGGTTCACTTTGTACGGTGCGAAAGCAGTTAAACACAAATACACTCAGATACTACAGCGACTTCTACGTAGGATGTCGGTAGTTTGTATCACGAGTGTTGTTCGGCACGCTGGCACACCACGACCGGCGATTCGCTCCACGTGCCAGGAGCTTGTGTAGTTCAGTTCCTGAAAGAAGCTCCCGGTATGTGGAGCGAAACGTCAGACACCGTGCCGAACATCACGATGCGGTACAACCGCCGAACGCGCGCAGCGGTCGCCGTACACCTCCGCGGTGCGGTTTTCGGGCCGTTGCGCGCGACGTCGGACGTTTGTCTCCGAACGCCACTGCGAGATTTTTGTCGCTCGCCGAGTCGTGGAGCGAAACGTCGGACATCACGGTGAACGACGCCTCGGCGCAACGCGAAACCGCATCGAAAGAGCAATCGGATGTGCGCGGCAATCCACGGAAAGAGAGAAACGGAAATGAGTTGCACGATAATCGGGGACGGATGCAGAAAACACGTGTCTTTATTTCGTAATAAAAAAAACCCAATAAAACGGTTTCAAAGTTGGCTTGGCAATGTCCCTGGCAGCAAAAAAATCACTCCCGTCTAGCCAGAGGTTGCGTGACCGTAACAACGCAGCAGCACTGCACAGTCACGGAGCACGAGACAAAAGGACCCCGTGGAGGGCCCTGCGAACTCCACGTCCGTGGAACGAAATCGCCACAAACACGCGAAAGACCAACACACGGGGAGGGATGGCTGACCCACCCCCAGTTTCCTGAAAATGCCATTGAAAATATTGTTCTTCAAAATGCGTCAAACGTCGGGGGGTGAGGGAATCCGTTTCCTTACCGAGGATTGAAAAGGAGTTTTAAATACTTTGTGGCGGGCAACCGCACATTCAACGCACACCACACTTTAAACGTGAACCAACGGCAACGCGAAAAATATATTACGGCTCACGGCGTTTCTAGAAAGTTATAAGACACGGCGTTACCAGGTCAAAAACACTCCGCCCCCTAGGACCCGATCAGCGAGGCTCAGATGCCTGCGGCGACGGATGAACTCGGTTTGCGGGCACAAGTCCGTGTGAAGTTAAGTCAGGGGGGTCGCGTGAAATGAAGTTACGGGCTGCATTCAGCCCAGAGGCCGTCGGTTTGCAACCCCCCTGGTTTATGCGAAACAGCGAAAGGACACCACTCTGAAATATTTCTGACCGCACGCCGAATTCGTGAAACCCCACACAACTCAAAATTTTTTTTTTTTTACTTTTTGTATGAACGGAGGAATACTCAGCCAGGCAGTTCAGGAGTTCCAAACATCTCTCTGGCTGACAAGTCGAGCACACCCAACTAGTCCCACAGCTTCAGCTGGGATAGTTGAGAGCTGCGACAAAGGCACGTGTATGTCGATGACAGCTGCAGAGCAATGATCAAGTTGCAGGAATCGGGACACGTACCAACACCACACTAAGGTGTCTACAGAAGCACGTTTGTAATCAATGTATTATTACCTGCTACGTCACATGGATCGGAGGGCAATAAATGATGGCGATGATACGTAAGATGATATTGATAATCATGCATCACTCAAAATACTCGTGTCGTGATTGAGAATATAATGAATGGTATCGGTAAACAACACTGGTCAACAAAACAAAAAAACGTTTTTCTGGCCTGGACTTTTGCAGCTGTTTTAGACTAATTTCAGGGTGCTGATTCCAAATCTGATCTCAGATTTGCTCTATCACATCTCATTTTTATGCTATAGGCATACCCAATTTTCATTAATTTTACCCGAAATTAACTCTGTCACTCATGATTGCAAGTTGTTGCGAGTCTTGTGACTGCTTTAGTGTTAAGATATGGTGCTGTATTTTTAGGATAGTGTGTTTATAATATCATTTTATGTAGATATCCACATTTATTTAATATTTTTCTTCTGCAGTTTTTATTGAAAATGCAATATTTGATATCTCAAAAACCTGATGTGATCGACAAAAACTGATGCCAGATTTGGAATCAGCACCCCAAAATTACCTTAAAACCTTATGCCAGAAAACGTGTTGACCAGTGTTATTTACCTGCTACGTCACATGGATCGGAGGCCAAAGACATTTGACAATGCAAATGGAACAAGAGCCGAAAAGTGCACAAATAAGCATGGACAGGTTTGCGGTTTCAATTGTGACGAGAAGCCGAGAGGCACGCTTGGAGGAGAGAGCACATTGAGCGGGAATGAAAGTGGGCTTGAGCAGGACACGTCACGGCTAGGTGGTGCGATTGGGCCGGTGGGCGAGACTATGAGTGGAGTGGCAGCCACCACGGAGATTTGGTGGATGCGATGAAATCGTCGCTCGTGCAGGCGCTCGATGGATCATTAGATCGCGGGGACGGCGACGGCGCGGGGAGGACTTCACCTAACAGCGGATTGATCACGGCTGCCGATGACGACGACGATCTTGATAACAATGAAAACCATCGTAGCTCGGGCCGCAGCCGGCTCGGGAAGCGTGCTGACCGCAAGCACGGCGACTGGTTGGCAGTTTCCCTGCCAATGTGGCACAGGCCCCGAGTTCGGCGCTGTCCCCTCCATCGCTTTGGCGGCCGGCGCGATGGCCGCCCGCGGGCGTGGCGTATTGCGCAAGGTGCCACTCGACGGCGGTGGTGGCGGCAACGCGTTGAGGTAGCAGCGGTCGTAATTTCTATCCCCAGCACAAACACTTGGCACGGGAGTCAGACTTGCGAGGCAGCCGAGGAAAGGCGCCATCGGCATTAGGGTCTTCACGGGCACGGCGTTCAGTTGTGGCGCCACTCAAAAACATCTGGCCAGTGTCAAAAAAAGTTACGCAAATGTCGTCTCTCACACAGTGAGTGCCGTTAGCGATCACCTTTGAGGGCAGGAACGGCACTCGAGAGGGTGGGTGGGTGGCCAACACTATGCCCGGCCGCCTTTGTCTTGCGAGTGTCGATGTTGACACACCGCACAAGGTACTCATTTGAAGCCAAGTCGACCTACGGGAGGCCCAGGACCAGTTCAGATAATCGTCATTGGTGTCAACCGTGAGCACGCTAACCACTACACCACCTCACAATGCGCACACACGCACTCGCACACGCGCACACACACGCGCACACACACACAAAGGCGGGAAACCCCCCTACGAGCCAGGCCCAGTACACTATGTGGCCGATGACGATGACACAGACATCGTGACCAAGACTCGTCCGTCACCGTGCGCGCGCGCGGGGGGCGCCGAGGTGAGACTCTTGTTCTCCGGTTGATTTCGCGTGGATCCGATCGGTCGAGTAAACCGAGCCCGGTGACCGAGAGAGCGACCGATTACTTGAACAACCGGATCACAGCCCGGCCTGTCGCGTACTGGACATCTGTGTGAAAGAGAGCTTCACAGCCCCATCGGATTCGCCCCGCAGTATTAAATAAATATTCTGGATCTTCCGAGACACTGCAGGAGCCCTCCTGCCACCGCGGACGCGATGGCGGCGAACGCCTCTCAAATCCGCCTCCGGTTCCTCCCTCCGTGCGTAACGGGGGCGGTCGGGCAGCCAGTGGCGGCTGAGCGGTCAGGGCGGGGGAGAAGGGGGAGTGGGGTAGGGGGGGTAGGGGGGGGTAGGGGGTCGGCTCTCGTGGTCAGGGGTCCAGGTGCAGGGACTTGAGTGCATCGTCCGGGTGCGTGGAAAGCGTGGCCATCGCTCCGTCGTTGAACTCGAAGGAGGTCCCGCCATCGAGCACCAGGCAGGCGTCCCAGCACCGCGAGCGAATCGTCATCCTGACGATAGAGACAACAACGACGACGGCGACGACGATCGGCAAGCCAGCGAGTGTGCACAACAACAATATCCGGTGACACGTGTCGCCACGGTGGCGAGATGTTAACTACCTCGGCTGGTATACAGGAGGTCGTGGGTTCGATCCTGACCCTGACGTCTGTATATTTGGAGCTTGCGTCTCTCTCTCTCTCCGTGATCGCGTGGATTTTTCCCCGGGTCCTACGGTTTTTCTCTCCACATCTATAATCAGCATACATTGAGAGTATTTGGCTGCTAGAAATTTCCACGTGATAAGCCACTTCGTTGAGCTATCATTTGTGGCCAGGTCGTTTCTGAACAAGAGCTGTATAGCTCAGTGGGCTTTACCTGGTAAAAATATAAAAATAGTTTAATAGTTAAAGCAAATAAATGTCATAGTTTTTAGTTTAGCGAACCGACTATCCGGTGATGCCACTGCTGCTGCTGCGTTGCAGTGGTAAGCATAATGAACAAAACTACTCAACACGTTCGTCAATAAAAGCACTCTGTGTGTGTGTGTGGACTTAAAAAGAAAAACATATACAGTAGAAGCCCTCTTAACGACCACCCCTGTTAACGACTAATCGCTTAATGACGGGCCTCCATAGAGCCCAATGTGTAGTGAATAGTGTAGTGTATAGTGTAGTGTATAGTGTAGTGTATAGTCGTGTAGAGTAGTGTATAGTAGTGTAGTGTATAGTAGTGTAGTGTATAGTGTAGTGTATAGTAGTGTAGTGTATAGACGTGTAGTGTATAGTGTAGTGTATAGTAGTATAGCGCCTCCATAGAGCCAAATGTGTTCACTTACCGACCAGCCCCCTGTTAACGACGGGCTCTTGTAGGTACAGGAAATGCAATGATTAACCATGTTTCTCTTAATATTGTCTTTATAATGTTGTTAGTATATTTATGTATTAATATCAATTGTTTAAATATTATAAAGTACGTTTATTGGGTGAAAAAGGTAACTTTCGATGCTATCGGAACGAATTACGTCTTTGACGTGTATTTCTTCTCCGCGCTTAACGACCAAATCACTTAAGAATCGGTTTCGTGGAACCAATTACCGTCGTTAAGAGGGCTTCTACCGTATATAATAGGGAATGTTTCGGGCATCGGCCCTTCGTCACTGGGATGAGCTACCAGGACCCTTCACCAAATGAACCCTCAGCGCAGCCGGGGTGACGTGCCACAGGTTCATGACCGCGATAGGTGTCCAGACACCTATTGCTGCGTGGGTGGCATGGGTAGCGTGGGTGGTGTGGGTAACGTGGGTAGCGTGGGTGGTGTGGGTGGCGTGGGTGGTGTGGGTAACGTGGGTAGCATGGGTGGCGTGGGTAGCGTGGGTGGCGTGGGTGGTGTGGGTGGCGTGGGTGGTGTGGGTGGCGTGGGTAACGTGGGTGGCGTGGGTAACGTGGGTGGCGTGGGTGGTGTGGGTGGCGTGGGTGGTGTGGGTGGTGTGGGTGGCGTGGGTGGTGTGGGTAACGTGGGTAGCATGGGTGGCGTGGGTGGTGTGGGTGGCGTGGGTGGTGTGGGTGGTGTGGGTGGCGTGAGTGGTGTGGGTGGCGTGGGTGGTGTGGGTGGTGTGGGTGGTGTGGGTAGCATGGGTGGCGTGGGTAGCGTGGGTGGCGTGGGTGGTGTGGGTGGCGTGGGTGGTGTGGGTGGTGTGGGTAACGTGGGTAGCATGGGTGGCGTGGGTGGTGTGGGTGGCGTGGGTGGCGTGGGTGGTGTGGGTGGCGTGGGTGGCGTGGGTGGCGTGGGTGGCGTGGGTGGCGTGGGTGGCGTGGGTGGCGTGGGTGGTGTGAGTGGTGTGGGTAGCGTGGGTGGCGTGGGTGGTGTGGGTGGTGTGGGTGGTGTGGGTAACGTGGGTGGCGTGGGTGGCGTGGGTGGTGTGGGTGGCGTGGGTGGTGTTGGTAACGTGGGTGGCGTGGGTGGCGTGGGTGGCGTGGGTGGCGTGGGTGGTGTGGGTGGCGTGGGTGGCGTGGGTGGTGTGGGTGGCGTGGGTGGTGTGGGTGGCGTGGGTGGTGTTGGTAACGTGGGTGGCGTGGGTGGCGTGGGTGGCGTGGGTGGCGTGGGTGGTGTGGGTAGCGTGGGTGGTGTTGGTAACGTGGGTGGCGTGGGTGGTGTGGGTGGCGTGGGTGGCGTGGGTGGCGTGGGTGGCGTGGGTGGCGTGGGTAGCGTGGGTGGTGTGGGTGGCGTGGGTGGCGTGGGTGGTGTGGGTGGCGTGGGTGGCGTGGGTGGTGTGGGTGGCGTGGGTGGCGTGGGTGGCGTGGGTGGCGTGGGTGGCGTGGGTGGCGTGGGTGGCGTGGGTGGCGTGGGTGGTGTTGGTAACGTGGGTGGCGTGGGTGGTGTTGGTAACGTGGGTGGCGTGGGTGGCGTGGGTAGCGTGGGTGGCGTGGGTGGCGTGGGTGGCGTGGGTGGCGTGGGTGGCGTGGGTGGCGTGGGTAGCGTGGGTAGCGTGGGTAGCGTGGGTAGCGTGGGTGGTGTGGGTGGCGTGGGTGGCGTGGGTGGCGTGGGTGGCGTGGGTGGTGTTGGTAACGTGGGTGGCGTGGGTGGCGTGGGTAGCGTGGGTGGCGTGGGTGGCGTGGGTGGCGTGGGTGGCGTGGGTGGCGTGGGTAGCGTGGGTAGCGTGGGTGGTGTTGGTAACGTGGGTGGCGTGGGTGGCGTGGGTGGCGTGGGTGGCGTGGGTGGCGTGGGTGGCGTGGGTGGCGTGGGTGGCGTGGGTGGCGTGGGTGGCGTGGGTGGCGTGGGTGGCGTGGGTGGCGTGGGTGGCGTGGGTGGCGTGGGTGGCGTGGGTGGCGTGGGTGGTGTGGGTGGCGTGGGTGGCGTGGGTGGCGTGGGTGGCGTGGGTGGCGTGGGTGGCGTGGGTAGCGTGGGTAGCGTGGGTGGTGTGGGTGGCGTGGGTGGTGTGGGTGGCGTGGGTGGCGTGGGTAACGTGGGTGGCGTGGGTGGCGTGGGTAGCGTGGGTGGCGTGGGTAGCGTGGGTGGTGTGGGTGGCGTGGGTAGCGTGGGTGGTGTGGGTAGCGTGGGTAGCGTGGGTGGCGTGGGTAGCGTGGGTGGTGTTGGTAACGTGGGTGGTGTGGGTGGCGTGGGTAGCGTGGGTGGCGTGGGTAGCGTGGGTGGTGTTGGTAACGTGGGTGGTGTGGGTAATGTGGGTGGTGTGGGTGGCGTGGGTAGCGTGGGTGGCGTGGGTGGCGTGCCGGGTGGCGCACCTGGTGGCGTGGCCGTGCGGGCGGGAGTTGGAGAAAACGCGGTTGACGATCGGTTCCCGGATGCTGAAGAACATCTGCGGCTCCTCGGGGTCAAACACCAGCGAGGAGCAATACCGCTCCATCACTAGCGTGGAAAGACAGAGATCCACCGTTTGACAAGTGCTGTTACGGCGAGTAGCACCTATGAAGGCCCGGCACGGAACGCGAGTGGGCGGGTGGCCAGCACCGTGCCCGGCCACTTTTGTCTCCCGAACGGGCGATGTTTACGCATCGCACCAGGTACTTAATTGAGGCTGAGTCGACCTAGGCGAGGCCCAGGACCGGTTTAAATATTCGTCAACGATGTTGGCCGTGAGTGGGAATTGAATTCAGGTCGCCGGGTTCATAGCGCAGTGCGCTAACCATTGCACTACTGCTCCCCATCTAGCGCATGCACACACACACACACAAACAATCGAAGATTCTGCACACAGCCACCGACAACTACATTGAGCGATAGCCGTAGATTGAGTGTTACCCCCCACCCCCTGGCAAGCGTGGGTTAACTCTGGGCACTCCGGCTTCCTCCCACGTGTACAAACTCTCATTGATGGTGTTGACCAAACATCCAAATATAGGATCAAGAGAACTTGGGTGATTGCTGGCAGCGGTTCCGATTGCCCTCTTCCCCGTGGTTTCCCGTGCAAAAACCTGGGCCCGTTACAAATTCTGCAGCGTTCTGCGATGCAATTTTCGCGAATGACACTGTATAACATAAAACTATTATCATCACGGTGCACCGGAACGCAACACGCTGATAACAGTCGGCAGTTCAACCCACTAACTTAGCAAGGAAGTTCTTACAACAAGACCCATCGAGAGACTTGCGAGGGGTCCTGGTATTTAACGCTGGAAGGGCCCCCCCTCCCCCATCTTGTGAAAGGTAGTAACAATGCCCAGGCCTCGGCTGTAGCCGATGTTATAATATTTACGAATCCAACGCGTTTGTAAATGGTTTATTCGGGGCAGAGAACAAATAGAAATCGTTTCCACGAATGAAATAGGTGGCCGAGATATCGACCGCACGTTTACATTATCGTCATCGGCCATGATCAATCCGCTGCTGGATGTGGTAGCCCTTGGCAAGCCGTTGGCATCTATCGCGATCTTCCAAAGCAACTATCCATCTCGCACCTGGACACGAGCTCATATCATCGCTCTGTCTCCACGGTGGATGGGGAAGGGCCTTCGTCCATCGGTGGAATGATAAAGCGCAGTTAATTTTTTTTTTTGACTGAAGACTTCGTCCGCTAACGAAACTTAGCGATGGTCCGAGGGTGACACTGCCGCGTTCACTCATCCTGACAACGTCCTTGTGGACACGAGAAAGGTGCGTTGCGTACAGGAGGGGTGCGCACGCGTACGGCACTGACACAGTATGGGGACGCGGGACTGACCTGTCCTGCAGAAATCCGCGTCGTTGGGCATGGACTGTCCACTGATATCGGTAGCTGCAACGATACACAGGTTCACCGGCGAGGTCAAAAACGCACGCTCCTACGCACGCGTGCTACGCGGAACGGACAGCGCGCCGATCCCGGTACATCATCCCTCCTTCATAGTTCCACGATGGCAAACGTGGCCCGTGTGCGTGCAGCGTGTATCACGACAGAGATGTGCATTTAGTATTACAAAAACACGGTTATATCTGTGTGGAAGGTGTTTTATTTGTACGGGATAACATCTCTTCTTGGTTCTTTCGGTAAAGTCACGTGTGGCTGAAACGTCGTGAGAATTGTATTTAATGTTTTATTTTAATTATTTTATTATTTCCCTTCTACGTGACTTTACCGAAAGAACCAAGAAGACGAATCCCTGCAGTTCCGAAAGCTTTAAATCCAGACAAATCTCCTCCTTCACGTATCCATCCCTCCATATAAAACAAATGTATAAAAGTAAAAAAAAATATCCCATCAGCCGTAGGGCCTTCTGGGAGTGCATCAGCTCAGCAGCATTGGTTCAACACAAGCAAACTGGACCAGGTTCCACGTTCATCATCTTATCAGCAGTCAGGCTTGGTTGTGTAAAAAAATGGCCTTACCTATTTTTAGAACATCCTGCACCGTTTGACTGGCAATCTTATTGATGTTGTACGACCTGTGGATGACACACGCAGAGCCAATGGTTATGCAGGATGACCCAATTATAGACACCCCACCGATTTCCCATGGCCCACTTACTTCCCTTCTCTGGGTGGGGTACGGCAGCAGCCTGCAAGCGGCCCCCCTCTCTGGTTCAGTGCGGAACCACGACGAATGCCATCATATCAGCCTGGCGACCTGAACATCGATCAACGATCTCTCACCAGCATCAACAACCCGACCTTCCTTCTCAATGCTTTGTTGAACGCGGGAGTAAAGGTGCTGGGCAATGCGTCTTGAGATTAGTGGGAGGTCTGTGGGGAGAGGCTTCGAAATCTTATATTTATACAGCTTCTTTATCTAAGGTGCTTTACAAGGGTTATGAGTGATACAATGAGGGTAGCTAAAGGTGATACGGTGAATAGGGATGGGGTGCGGGGAGGGAGATTAGTGCGTACGAGAATTACGGGGGCAATCTAGAAATGGAGGGAATGATGGGCCAGGGAGAAGAGGTGGAGGCCTTGAGGGAGGAGCGGAAACTAGAAGGGAGGGTGCTTGCTTCATGCGGAGGGGAAGTTTATTTGTTCAACCCCCCCCCTCCGCTACATGGAGGTATATTTGACCATACTTCCCCATCTGGGAGGCACCAAATGACGGTTCACAAATCACTCGCCACTGATATTAGCCATTGCCGCGAGCGGAACTCGGGTCGCCGGGTTTATAGCGCAACGCGCTAACCACCGCGCCACTGCCCCCCATTAAACAGTACGGGTAGTGTCCCACACACACAGGCAAGACAAAGAAAAAGATGCCCTGCGTAGCCCACGCAGGCTGTTAAGGCAAGTGCTGCCGGGGCGGTGCACGAAGGGGGTGGCGTGCGGCCAGCACCACGTCCGGCACTGATGTTTTTTACACACCGTGCACCAGGTACTCAATTAAACGCCAAGTCGACCTCGGAGAGACCCAGGACCGGTTGCGGTATTTGCCACCAATGCTGATCGTGAGCCAGAATCGAACTCAGGTCTCCGGGCTCGGAGTGCAGCACGCTAGCCACTACGCCATCGCTCGGACACGCTCAGACACGCGCAGAGACGCTCAGAGACGCGTGCATGGCATGGGCCGCAATGCGTTGATACCACCGCAGGCCACGCTGGCGCGCCACGTGTGGGGTCTGCGGAGGCAGCAGCAATGGCCTACCAGGCGCTGGAGCCGCTGCCCGTGCACACGCTGACCCCGGAGCTCTTCTGCTTCTCCCAGGGGCCCCCGTCCACGCTCAGCTCGTAGTAGGAGGCCCTGGGTGCACACGTGAACGGGAGATGTGAACGTCTAAAAAAAGGTCACCACCGACGTTCGCTGCTCCCCGCACGCACACAGGCACACAAAGACTCCCTATGTAGCCCACGCAGGCTGTCGGGGAAGGTGCTGTTAGCGAGCACCTATGAAGGCCGGAACGGCAAACGAGGGGGGTGGGGATGGCCAGCCCTGCTCCCGGCCACTTTTGCCTCCCCGTCTTCCCAGTGGTGGTGTTTACACACTGCAACAGGTCCTCATTTAAGGCTGATTTTGCTGTAGACAGACGTGGGGCACACCGTGTCTCGGCATAGCAGTCACCTGGAGGAGATGGACTCGCCAATGTAGACTTCGTTCAACGCGCACACAGGAAGTCGCTTGGGCCCGCCCACCAACCCCAGTGTCGTCCCTGCCGACACAACAACACCAACGCCAAGATCGTCACCAGCCATGCTCTATCCACTGCCAGACGGAGCCCTCCTGAAGCATTCGCCAGCTATCACCAGCCGACTCCATCGCTCCATCTCTCCGCGTCGGACGTGCTCTCGGGCGCGTTCCCTCCTTTGGCTGCCGCTCCATCGCTTGTCTCCACCGTCGTCGTCTCTTCTCGCCGTGACGACGCGGCCTGCCCGAGGCCGCTCCCCTTTCTCGACAGTTCACGCGATGTCCATAACGTGCGCGAACTCTTTAATCCATGCGTTCCTCTCCTCCTGCCTCTCGTTGCTAACTCCAAGCGTGCGTAGAGGAGTAAAATGGGGACGTGACGTCATGTGTGCCGTCCAGTGCGATGACGTCACGGAACGTGACGTCATGCTCGCTGGGAGGCTCGATGACGTCATGTCTCGTGGAGTACTTAAGGGAGACCCCGTGACGAAAGCGGGGTCACTGTGGAAACGGGTAGAGTGAGAAGGGTAGAGAGGGAACCAGGGTGTTGTAAAGGGACAAAGTCGTGAGTCTGGAAGGACGCCGGTGGTAGCCGATAGAGGTGCTTCTCTCTCCGGTCGGTGGAGTCGGCAGAGTCCCCGATCCGACACGGAGAGAGAGACCGGAGCGAGCCGGGCAGGGACCGGGACTCAGCGTAGGACCCCTAACCCCTGGGAGTTGTGTACCCTTGTGTGTTAAGTTGCAACATCTTTGATAAACTTACGGCGAAAGCCGTTAACCTTCAAGCCGTCTCCGAGTGCGTCCTGGGAACTCCTCAACACATGCATCTCTCCAGGCTCATTTGTGCCCTTTTCATCTTTTTCCCCATTTTCTTTGTCAATGTGCAGGTTCCTAACCCATCTGTGGAACTATTTTAGTTTTTATTCATTCGTATGACTCCGTTACCCTGGGTGCTGCATACGTCACATCCTCCCACCCAAACCCTCATTGACACGCCGAGCAGCGGTGGACTCACCTTGAGACTGCACCCGAGACCAATCAAGGAAAAACAAAGCCAGCTGGGGCAGCACCCACTCCGGAGCACATGCAAATGCAGCACAACGCTTCATGAACATATATTTCACTTGTCGGTACCGCCTGCGCTGCCGTAACCTTAGCTGGTTCCAATTTATTTACGCGGCCAATAACAGCGAATCAAATGGTAATAAGTTGAAACTAATGGGGTTATCCAAGAGTTCCCCTTCTCTTTAACGCGTAAATACATTGGCACGACTGAAGTTTTTCTACGTTAGGCGGTACCGGTTTCTGCTCTGGCCCGTGGACTACAAGGTGGCACCAAGTGGCGCAAGGCGCCTACACACCCGCCCGCCCGCCCGCCCGCCTGCCTGCCCGCCCACCCGCCTGTCCGCCCGCCCGCCTGCCAGCCCACCCGCCTGTCCACCCGCCCGCCTGTCCGCCCGCCCGCCTGTCCACCCGCCCGCCTGTCCGCCCACCCGCCTGTCCACCCGGTCACCTGCGTGTTTGGCAGCGGCGGCCAGGTGCGCTGAGCGGTGCTGCGCCAGGCTCAGCTGTTGCTCGTGGAGGTCCACGGGCACGAGGCCAAGCCCCGAGCCGTCCGTCTCGACGCGGATGCGCTGGCGCCACAGGTACCTGGCCGCGATCGGGTCGCGGGCGCGCCAACACGAGCCTGGGTCAGAGCGCCGCCTCGGGGGGCTGGTTACGTTGGCGAATACTCCGTCTGGTGGCCAAGAGGGGTCACACTAGTCCCGTCGTCAAAAGACTCCAACTTTTCTGTGATTCATCTTCTTGGTTCTTTCGGTAAAGTCACGTAGAAGGGAAATAATAAAATAATTCTCGCGACGTTTCGGCCACAACGCAAGCAGCCATCCTCAGGTGAAGAACAGGTCTGTCGGGAAGACAGCGTCTGAAATTTATTTCGACAGACCTGTTCTTCACCTGAGGACGGCTGCTTGCGTTGTGGCCGAAACGTCGTGAGAATTATCTTATTATGTTTAATCTTTATTATTTCATTAATTCCCTTCTACGTGACTTTACCGAAAGAACCAAGAAGATGAATTCCTGCAGTCACGAAAGCTTTAAATCGAAATTTTCTGTGATTACCAATGTTTTTGTTGCTTTGTACTTCAGAGAAGAGATGGTGTTTGGCAGATGAGAAGAGGCCTGGACCTGAGCAGGTGCATTGTGTCACGGGATTACACCAGGAAGTCGTTGTGATTTCTTGGTTTCTGACCTGAAGCTGCTTGGCGCACACTCCAGCGAAACGGCGCGTAACTAATCGCGACCACATTTGATTGTGAAAACCCTTTAGCTCATGGTGAATGAGATGACCTTCATCGATAATGATCGGCATGTTAAACGCCTGCACACATGACAATTTCATTTGTTTGGCTATATCGGGCGGTGGAGAGTTACACAAATAACGTTCGGCCAGACCACTTCACGTGGGCGAACCCAAAAAAAACTATTACAAACCGTGGCATTGGCTGTGATAAACCTACTTAGACGTTGTGTTGCAATGGGTACGCCCAATGGTTGCGGCCTCAGCGGGCCATGTGCACGCCCGACACTCACCTGAAATCACCTTTCTGTAGCTTCCGCAGCGCGAGGGGCATGTTGGTGGTGTAGCAGACGGGCAGGCACAGGTGGCCCTGAGACCTACGGCAAACGGCAACAACAGCGGTAGCTTAATAACACCGGCACGTGATCCCCCGGCTCAACACGATTAGCACGGTTGGCTACGTACAGTGAGGAAAAAAAGTATTTGATCCCTTGCTGATTTTGTACGTTTGCCCACTGACAAAGAAATGATCAGTCTATAATTTTAATGGTAGGTTTATTTGAACAGTGAGAGACAGAATAACAACAACAAAATCCAGAAAAACGCATGTCAAAAATGTTATAAATCGATTTAAATAATTATAGACTGATCATTTCTTTGTCAGTGGGCAAACGTACAAAATCAGCAGGGGATCAAATACTTTTGTCCCTCACTGTATGGTGCGAAAGAAGTTCAACATACTTACAACCGTGAATTCCTACTCAAATGAGCAATGAGGTATGAATACTCATCTACTGTTTATGAGTGCTGAGCCAGTGGAGGGAATTCCATGTTCCTATGGCAGGGGCGGGTTTTTCCATAGGACAGCCACCACTGACTTCGCCATAAATAGATGTTCACTTTTATTGACCTCGGAGGGATGACGATGGGCCGCATCAACCCCCGCCAACCAGGATTTGACGTTGTAACATTCCGATTGCAAAAAAATGAAAATCGAATGTTTAGTTGTATATAGCGATGTCGTCGTTCATGCAAATTGCATCTCGCAGTCGCCGAGTAGGAACCACAGATAAGTTGTAAGGCTGGCCGTGCGGCGAGCCGTCGCCAAAGATTGCTCTGCAGTTCTCTACATCTTCTTGGTTCTTTCCGTAAAGTCACGTAGAAGGGAAGTAATAAAATAATAAAAATAAAACATAATAAAAATAATTCTCACGACGTTTCGGCCACAACGCAAGCAGCCGTCCTCAGGTGAAGACCAGGTCTGTCGGGGAGACAGACCTGGCCGTCCTCAGGTGAAGACCAGGTCTGTCGGGGAAACAGTGTCTGAATGAGACGCTGTCTTTTCGACAGACCTGGTCTTCAGACGCTGTCTCCCCGACAGACCTGGTCTTCACCTGAGGACGGCTGCTTGCGTTGTGGCCGAAACGTCGTGAGAATTATTTTATGTTTTATTTTTATAATTTTATTACTTCCCTTCTACGTGACTTTACCCGAAAGAACCAAGAAGATGAATCCCTGCAGTCACGAAAGCTTTAAATCGAAAGTTCTCTATATGTTAAGATATTTTTAGTCAATTAGTGAGTGTTTATACTGCATGTGTGAGCAAACCGGAGCACCGGAGAAAACCGACGAATGTTAGGGGGCGGGCGATCAGGATCGTGCAATACATTATTTTGGTGGCAAGGCGGTACATTGGTAACACTTGTGTGTTACAGCGAGAAGGGACTTGGGTTCGATTCCCAACTCTGGTGCTTTTCTGTAAGGAGTTCGAATGTTCTCCCTGTTGTGCATGGGTTTCTTCTGGGTTCTCCGGTTTACTTCCATGAAGAAAACGTAACTGTTATGGCCATAACTGTTATTGTCCCGATGCTGAAAATTGACACTGCAAATTACACATTTGGAATTAAACACAGAGGAGCAACATCGCCCCCTACTGCGTAACCTTGGCAGGACCCTCCTGAAACAGTCTTGAGACTCAGTGAGGTTGTCTGGGTAAACAAGCGTAATCATGAAAACAGTAATAATAATAAGTTGCAAGTGACGTCGGCCGTGGTCGGGAATCAAACTAAAGGTTACAGCGGAGTGCGCTAACCACGGCGCCACCACTCCACACCACCGCCTCACTGCACGGTGGCGTAGCCCTTGAAAAGTACCTCTCCGGATCGGTGTTGACACCAATGACTAGTTTCCTGGGGTCATGGACCTTGCTGGCAGCCAAGAGCAGCGTGCCGTCGCCTGCCACACAACCAGAGAGCAAACACAACACGCGCCTCCGTGAGCACTCCCAGGGGACGCTGCCGCATGGGAATCCTAACTCATTCTGCCAGGCAGAGGTATGAGAATTCTGGGCAGGGCGGTTCTGATATCACTCACCGCCAGAGGCCGCAACCGGGTACCCGATACCCGTACCCTACCCGATACCCGGCTACCCGTACCCGGCCGGGTACGGGTACGGGTAGCCGTTTGCGACCCTGGTGCGGCCGGGTACGGGTAGGCCGTGAGTCACTGGCGAGTAACCGTTTGTCACTCATTTCGGGTAGGGTATGGGTACGGGTAGGAAACGGAACCCGTACCCGGCCGGGTACGGGTACGGGTACCCATTTGCGACCCTGGTGCGGCCGGGTACGGGTAAGGAATCAAAACCCGTTTGCGACCTCTGCTCACCGCTGCGACATTCACCACGCCAGTGCACCGACACCCGTGCCACCGACCGCTCCACGCTTGTATGTGCGACACGGAAACGATACGCCAATGCTGCATTTAGGCCAACGAATTGAACAAAACTACGCGAACGAGACGCAGCAAAGGCGGAACGATACATACGAGGTGACCAGGGGCGTAGCGTGGTTGGCATGTGCCCTGGTGCAAGAAATCATATGCCCCCCTGTCCCCCCCTATCCAATATCCCCCCCCCCTCCACCACCTATTCGTATCCCAGTGCCTGGACCCATCCGGCCCGTGGGCCACGGTGGATTTGCACCGCCCGCACACTCGATAGCTACGCCACTGTCAGCCGCCTTGACTGAGAGAAACGACTGCTCATCGCCGCGTTGGCGTAGAGCCACGCACCACGATGCACTTGGGCACGGGGACTTGACAACGAGCACGGAGGCGCGCCCCCCGCCCCCCCAACACACGCACCTCCCGCAGAGATGATGGTGTCAGCCCAACTGACGTCCTGCTCGCAGTAGTCGTGCCTCTTCACCACGCGCACCTCCACGCCGCCCTCCCTGCAAGACAACGCGCGTATGTTGGCGCAACAAAGATTCCTGAATCCATCTGCGTGGAGCTCTGCAAATGATTCCCTGCGTACGCGAGTTGGGGATTTATCTGCGTTCTGCCGGGTTCTCTGGGTTTCCGTCCACATGACGCCAAACGCCCGTGAATGAGTGTCGAGACTCAGTGACGGTTTGCCTGGGTGGATTCAAGGACATTACTTTACAGGGGAAACGATGGTGCATTGGTTCCTGCACCGCACGATAAACCCAGCAACACGAGTTTGGGAGTCCCTGGCGAGCACGGTAAAGTATGGTCAAACATTCCCAATGACCGACATGGTGTGGGGAGGCCTAGATCCAGCAGTGGATTGACAGAGGGGCTGTAAATGATAAATTATTAATGTATGAAGAACATAATGCAATCCCCGCAGCCACCAGTTGCACCTCGAGTCCCCACAATAACTCAAACAAATGAATGAATCACTAAACCGGAATCTCTTCATTGCATCACTCGGGGAGGGGTGGAGAGGGAATTTATCCACTCGGCAATGTACAACCTGCCCCGATGGGGACTTTTATAAATACATTTGGCAGGCAAGACAAAGATCTCCCGTATAGCCTTCAACAGACTGTTGGGTCAAGTGCTGTTAGCGAGCACCAATCAAGGCCGGCACCGCACACGAGGTGGGTGGGTGGTCAGCACCACGCCCGGCCGTCTTCGTAACCCGAGTGGGGATGTTTACACAACGCACCAGGTATTCATTTGAGGCTGAACCGATCTAGGGGAGGCCCAGGACCGGTTCAGATAATCGTCTCTTGGCGATGGCTGTGAGCGGGAATCGAACTCGGGTCGTCGGGTTAGTTGTGCAGCGCGCTAATCACTGCACCACCGCTCCCACTTGGTTGGCAACAACACATTAACACCCACCTTGGTGTGTGTGTTTTAATGTGTCACATTAACATACCCACCTTGTTGTCTGTGTTAATGTGTCACACACTCACCTTGGTGACACATTAACACCCACCTTGGTGTGTGTTAATGTGTCACACACACCCACCTTGGTGACACCTCGGTGTCTGTGTTAATGTGTCACACACACACACCTTGGTGACACATTAACACACCCACCTTGATGTGTGTGTTAATGTGTCACACACACACCTCGGGGTGTGTGTTAATGTGTCACACACACACACACACCTTGGTTACTTCTGTCACTACAAGACGTTCCTTGCAGTGACACAAGTGACTGACACTGACAAAATTAGAAACCCAGTGTTGTTGCCAATTTAGTGCAGCTCAAGACGCTCGGAGTGGCGCACAGACAATTTGTTGTTTGCAGGCCGTTACAAAAGCGTTCGGCCCTTTATGTGGCCGGGGCGAAGCGAAGTCTTGGGTCGTGTCTGGCCCCCCACAGGCCGTATGGGACCCCACCACCACCACCGCCGCCGCCGTGCAAGACAGCAGCAGAGGCCGGCACGTACTGCAGGCTGCTGATGAGGTGAAGGACGTGCTTTCGGTGGACGTGGTAGCGCTCCAGAAGGCCGCCGTAGTTGGAGCCCCGCAATGCCAGCTACCGAGAACAGGTGCACACAGAGAGAGAGAGAGACTGAGCTCAACAACAAACTATAAACTACATTTCGATTTAAAGCTTTCGTGACTGCAGGGATTCATCTTCTTGGTTCTTTCGGTAAAGTCACGTAGAATGGAAATAATAAAATAATAAAAATAAAACATAATAAAATAATTATCACGACGTTTCGGCCACAACGCAAGCAGCCGTCCTCAGGTGAAGAACAGGTCTGAATTGGTCTATAATAAGGTAATAAGGTAGAGCACTGATAAGGGGTTGACAGGTAATAGTGTATAGTGTAGTGTATAGGATGAACGTTGAGATTTGTCAAGGCACGGGGTGACCAATAAAATCTTAATTGGTCTGTAATAAGACAGCGTCTTTCCGACAGACCTGTTCTTCACCTGAGGACGGCTGCTTGCATTGTGGCCAAAACGTCGTGAGAATTATTTTATCATGTTTTATTGTTATTATTGTATTATTTCTACAAACTACATATTTTTTTTACTTGAGCATATTGGCACAAGACTAGAAGAAAGTGGAAACAACTGATATGTACAGAGGACACCTACGCACTATCTGCCCAGTGATGGTGATGATTTTCCATATTTTACCAGGTAAGGCCCACTGAGCAATGCAGCTCTTTTTCAGAAGCAACCGGGCCACAAATGATAACTCAACGAAGTGGCTTATCACGTGGACATTTATAGCAGTCAAACACTCTCAACGCATGTTTCTAAATATGACGGAAAAAAACAGAGGACCCGGAGAAAGATCCACACTACCACGGGGAAATAGACATGCAAACTCCAAATATACAGCAGGCATCAGGATCGAACCCACGATGACCTTGTGTCAATTTGTGTTGTGTTTCTCCCTTGTGATGGGACTTTGTAGGATGAACGTTGAGATTTGTCAGGGCACGGGGTGACCAATAAGGTCTGAATTAGTCTGTAATAAGGTAGGGCACTGATAAGGCGTTGACAGGTATATAGTATAGAGTACAGCAGAGGAGTGTATAGTGTATAGTCAGGGCACGGGGTGACCAATAAAGTCTGAATTGGTCTGTAATAAGGTAGGCACTGATTAGGCGTTGACAGGTATATAGTATAGAGTACAGCAGAGGAGTGTATAGTGTATAGTCAGGGCACGGGGTGACCAATAAAGTCTGAATTGGTCTATAATAAGGTAGGCACTGATTAGGGGTTGACAGGTATATAGTATAGAGTACATTATAGTAGTGTATAGTGTAGTGTATAGGATGAACGTTGAGATTTGTCAGGGCACGAGATGACCAATTAAGTCTGAATTGGTCTGTAATAAGGTAGGCACTGATTAGGGGTTGACAGGTCTGCAATAGTCTAAAGAGATTTTTCTGCTCAAACGTTGCGAGTCAGGTGAGTGAGCGTGGTGAGTGGTTGGTGCATGTGTCTGTAAGGTGAGCACAGGGTGAGGGGTCCTCACCAGTTGCCTAAAGTTCTTCCTCAAGGAGTGTGGTGAGGAGTGTGGTCAGGAGCGTGGTGAGGAGCGTGGGGAGTGGTGGTGAGTGTTGTGGTGAATGTTGGTGAGTGTTGCGGTGAGTGGTGGTGAGCGTTGGTGAGTGGTGGTGAGTGTTGGTGAGTGTTGTGGTGTTGGTGAGTGTTGTGGTGAGTGTTGGTGAGTGGTGGTGAGTGTGTGGTGAGTGGTGGTGAGTATTGGTGAGTGTTGTGGTGAGTGTTGGTGAGGTTGGTGAGTGTTGTGGTGAGTGGTGGTGAGTGTTGGCGAGTGGTGGTGAGTGTTGGTGAGGGTGGTGAGTGTTGGTGAGTGTGGTGGCGAGTGTTGTGGTGAGTGTTGGTGAGAGTGGTGGTGAGTGTTGTGGTGAGTGGTGGTGAGTGTTGGTGAGTGTGGTGGTGAGTGTTGTGGTGAGCGTTGGCGAGTGGTGGTGAGTGTTGGTGAGTGTTGGTGAGTGGTGATGAGTGTTGTGGTGAGCGGTGGTGAGTGTTGGTGAGTGTGGTGGTGAGTGTTGTGGTGAGTGGTGGTGAGTGTGGTGGTGAGTGTTGTGGTGAGTGTTGGTGAGTGTTGTGGTGAGTGTTGTGGTGAGTGTTGGAGTGAGTGTTGGTGAGTGAGTGTTGGTGAGTGGTGTGGTGAGTGGTGGTGAGTGTTGTGGTGAGTGGTGGTGAGTTGTGGTGAGTGTTGGAGTGAGTGTTGGTGAGTGGTGTGGTGAGTGGTGGTGAGTGTTGTGGTGAGTGGTGGTGAGTGTGGTGGTGAGTGTTGGTGAGTGGTGGTGAGTGTTGTGGCGAGTGTTGGCGAGTTGTGGTGAGTGTATGGTGAGCGTTGGCGAGTGTTGTGGTGAGGGTGGTGAGTGTAGTGGTGAGTGTTGGTGAGAGTGGTGATGAGTGTAGTGGTGAGTGTTGTGGTGAGTAGTGATGAGTGTTGGTGAGTGTAGTGGTGAGTGTTGGTGAGAGCGTTGGTGAGTGTTGGCGAGTGTGCCAATGCACACGACGCGTGCAGGACAAGGTGACAGAGCCGAGTCGCATGCCCGCTGTGAAGATGCGAGCCGCGTGTGTTGAGTTTCGCTACAACGCCGCTCTTCGCTCCTCACATGGTGAGGGTGAGTGCACCTGTTGCTCACCAGCTGCCTGAGGTCTTCCTCGGACAGGGCGGCGCATTTGTATCGCTGCTGCTCGAACTCGTAGCGGGTCGTCTTCTCGAGCACCAGAGCCCGGGCCACGCGGGGCGGCTCCGTGGAGCCTGCGCCTTTCCTGCCCGGCCCGCCGGGAAAGTGACGCCTCGCCGGGCAGGCGCAGTCCGACCGACCGCCTCCCTCGGGGTCCACGCGGCCCGATGGTTTCGCAGCAGTCGCAGATGTCGTCGTCTTTCCGATAGAAGCAGGCAAACCGGGTTGTGGTGGTGGTGATGATGGTGGTGAAGTGTGGGGACAGGGAGAGACACTCAGGGCTCTGCGGCCCAGAGGGGATAAGAGGAAACCCGAACAGAGAAGTCGCCGCATGGCACCGCTGAGTGAGTGCGAGGTAGTGAGATTGTCCCCTGCTCCTCCTCCTGCTCCACCACCACCTCTCCTCCTGTCACCCTTTCACAACTGTTCCCCACTTCTCTCCTTTCCTATCAAGCTCGAGCCCTGCAAGTGCTCTCCCACCACCAGTAGTTCAACCACGCTCTCTCCTCCTCTGCTGTTCTCTTCCTCATTCCTGGCTGCCCCGGGTCCTCTCCTCCACCCCTCCTCGGTCCTGTCCTTCAGTCATCTAAACCCTTATCATTCATGGTCTCAATGTCCTCACCTACTGCCCACTCTGTTAATCAAGTCTCCCGTTAACCCTCCCCCATCTGCAACCACACCAACTCCTCTCTCATCTCATTCACTTGATACAGCTGTCGTGGCTGTGACGGTTCCACCTGAAGACGGAAGCTTGTGTTGCCTCCGAAACGTCGTGATTTTTATTTTATTTTTATTAATTTTAATGTTTTTTACCTACGTGACTTTACCGAAAAAACCTAAGAATATCTCATCATCCTGTCTTCCACAATAGATCTACTCTCTCTCTCCTCCCACTCCCAAATCCTTTCAACAATCAAGGACCCTGACTATACTTTAAAAACGATACATTTGATAATTGTTTTTTTTTTACCTTTTTATCTGGCAATAAAACTGACACCTTTTTTACAATGAGTCATGTTTGCACAGACCACAATACCTGCAGTCGGAATGCAAACAAAAAACATAACTCTGATAATGTATGCACTGTCCTTGAAGTTGATTGGTCCACACCCGAGACAGCTTTCTTTAGAGCCTAGTCTCAAATGGTGTTGGACCAGATGACGCCAAAAGGCGCACGACTCAAAGACAATGCACCAGAAAGCTGTCTCGGGTGTGGACCAATCAATTTCAAGGACAGTGCATACATTATCAGTTATGTTTTTTGTTTGCATTCCGACTGCAGGTATTGTGGTCAACGCAAACATGACTCCTAAAAAAAGGTGTCAGTTTTATTGCCAGATAAAAGGGTAAAAAGCCAATTATCATATTTTGCTACTGGCAAATGCGGTTCCAATAACGATACATATATTTTTTTATTTTACCAGGTAAGGCTGACTGAGCTGAAGTTATTTTTAACAAGCGACCTGGCCACAAATAATAGCTCAACGGAGTGGGCTTATCGTGTGGACATTTATAGCAGCCAAATACTCATAAAAGAACACGCAAATGTACAGCAGGCGTCAGGATCGAACCCACGGGCCTCCTGCATACCAGGCGAGGTAGTTACCATCTTATTGTCTTTCAATAGTCTACAGTTTTATTTCAATCACATTTAAATTGACAATCTGGGTTATTGTGGCAGACCATCAATGAGTAAAACGTCAAGAACACCCAAACGACGTATTCCCTCAAATGCTTGAAGCTGTTTAATAAGTACAGAATATTTACACACACGTTAAAATAATCATATAAATACCGAATATGGTGATTGCAAGTCATACATTACCATTAATAAACTTATACGGTACTGTCCCTGCAGATTCATGGCAAGAAAATTGGTCTTTGATTATTACCCAAACCCTTAACTATATCCCCTAACTCCCAACTGAAACTTTGGCCTAAACCTTAAGTATAACCTTAATTCCCAACACTAACCCCTAAAACAATAGGGTTAAAGATGTGCATTCAGTTTCAAGGTGATTTTGTTGAACCTGGCGAGGAACTCGAGACCAGGATGAGTCAATTGCAAGCGTGACCTGGAGCAAGGCATCATTCTCCTAATAATGGGGAATGAATACGGTGTCAAATCTCATTTCAACACGTAGGCTTTTGCGACCAATATCTATAATAGAGGGAGGGGGTGGTTAGATCGTGTAATTTCCATCTAACCCAAAAAAACATGAAAAAAAATTCCATTTATTTAATTTGTGGTTAACTTTAGAATTTGGCAAATTGTGGACCTTGGCGCCAGCACACAATCGTTTCCTCTTGCCAATGACATCAGGGGATCTTTAACGTCCAACGTGAAACAGATGACATGTAGTAGTCCAGCATTCTGGTTATTACACCCACGGTAAATATGCCTCAGCATCTTAAAGCGCCTTACGTAAACAATCGAATTTCAACCATTCTATTCCATTGCCCTGTGGCAGTCTGGGAGAGATCAAACATTACATCAACAACGTGTGTATTATTGTGCCCCTGATGCAAGACATCTCAGAGCACAGTTGTTTTAGTCTAGGGGACCCCAAGCGGCAACTGTCCGCACGCAGCACGTGTACGTTTGATGAACTTGTTTCACACCGTATTGTCCACCAGTCGTGTTTGTTTTTGTGCTGCCCTTTGTTAATTTCACTGCTATGTGCCTGATGAAACCCCAACACACTAAACCCTAACCCCAAACAACACTAAACCTGAACCAAAAAACCAAGGAAGGTCTGTCATTGGACGAAAACCTGCAGGGACAACTGTGCCACTCAATTTATTTCACCCACAATCTACAGAGACGGAAGGTAGCCCCCTCTACCTTACTAAAATACACAATCATATCACCGACAAAATGTACATGTAATCGTTTAAATAAAAAAAAGAAAACCCCACAGTGTACTTGCAAAATAAGTCCATTCACCAAATTTGTTACATTTTATACAGTAGTTCCATTAGTCCATTAACCTGAGCTGTAGCAGTAGGAAACACACACACATACACAACTCACGACGTGCGCGTACGATTCACTCAACACTTGCATACGGTACTGAAAAAAATCCACGCACGCATGAGTCATCGTCACGTTATGCAAAATAAATAATATCTTGTAGAATGTACGTAAATGATCAATGTGCAGTGATTTCCTCTCGTGCATCACAATCACCCGCCCCCGCCCACTTAACAGTTGCAAGGTTAAAAGTCAGAAGTTATACAAAAACGAAAAAGACACCGTTCCCTGTATGTGCAACTTGTAGATACCAATAATCGCACGTCCATAGCAGCCAACAGAGAGATGTGCGGTGGAGTCGCGACCGTAATTCGCACGGTCACTTGTCGCACGCCGAATGACCAACAACGCCAGGAAAAGCACCCGATCTCATCGGAGCTTGGAAGCTAAGCGTGCCCTGGCCTGGCCGGTGCTTGGACAGGCGACCGCCATGCGCACCACAGCTTGTTTTAGGCTGTGGGGTTATGTGGTGGGCAGCACGGCGCACCATTGCGCAGCTGTACTTCACTGCTCTCAAATACTCTCCCCTGCCTTCACCAACCCCTGCTGACCAGCATTGAAGCACGGTCAAACAAACTCCACAAGTCCGCATGGCGCGTTGATGCCTTCATCCAGCAGTGCATTGACACAGGACGGTAGAATGTACCAAACCTGTTGCACACATTTACGCGAGGCCACAACCTCGCCCAAAATCATCTGAAGCTACCAATTTTCTTGGGAGGCTCCGCCAGGGCACAGTTGTGGGGGCTGGAACCCCTTCCTGGCATTGACTTCCACCCAACATAAGAGTGGGCCTCACTCTTTCCGACACTGGGCCTCACCCATTGCTCATAGGCCTCGCCTACTCTTCTCTGTCGACCCTGCCCACGACTCCGGGTAGCCCCACGTATCATCACAAGTCCAGTACACGGGCCAGAACATTTTAAACCCGCAGACAAAATCCCCATTTACACACAAGCGTCCGGAGGACACCAGGACAGCTTTTCTGATTTTGAGGAGAGTGTCCCTGCCATTTCAGAAGGTCTGGTGACATTACATAAACCCCTTAGGTCAGGCACCAATTTGGAGCTACTTAGCAATCGGCTAACCTTACAAACCCTGCCGGTCCACGTCACGACACGATGGCACGTTTGTCAGCGGCAAACACCTCGGACAGTTGTAAACATAACGCAGGAAGCCAACGCGAATGTTTCCACAGCCCGTGCGATATAGACTGAATCGATCCCAATATGGTAAGTCCACATTAAACCGTCCAATTGCATTGCATCATTGCATCAGCATTGCGACAACATCAAAAACACACAACCGACATGTCCTCTGATAGTGTAAATGTACAGCAGCCAAGGTTTGTTTTGCCTCTTGGGCCAGTGGTAGCCAGCGATTGGCCAAAATTGGGTTAGCTGTATTCTCGGAGTGGAATGATTAATCCGTTCCCTGCGATTGGACGAATTGTCACGATTCTGAGTCGTGATTCAATAGTCAATTAGTATTTGTAGCACCTCTTTACATCAGAGAACAGCTCTCACCGAAGTGAGTACCACAGAAGCGGACTTTCCAACCTGCTGTGCCACAAAGAGTGGTGTTTATCACATGACAGTAAAACCAATACATTTAATTCTTAGAGTTGGAATTTATCCAAATTAGGTGCAAAAACTAATTTAGAGTCTTGGTGACCATTAATGCACCGGGCCACCATTTTAACAAAGCATTAAATGGCAGCGCGTCTAGTGGATTTGGTGGCAATTAAAAAAACATTTACCCTTGCACAATTCAACGCATGTTTCGTGAACTTAAGAACCCATACGAACGAGTATCGATGTTCTCGCAAGCACTAGCAAGGATAAAACTGCCGTAGAGTTGCCTCGTTCCGCATCTGCAGCCTAAATGAAAAAAATGCCAGGCGCGTCTCTTGCATTGGGTGGTCATCACAAGGCTGCGCGTCAACGCTTTGACAAGGAGCACTGCAACGCGATCTCGCCGAGCGGCGGAAAAATATCTTGCGACCGCTTAATAAAAAATAAACAACGCAGCCTCCGAATGAGTAAGCATGTCACCGTCCGTGCTACAAGGGACACACGCTGTTGACGTTGAGCAGCACTGGCTCGAGAGGCTGGGTGTCGTCCGGCTCGTCGATGCACAGGCGGTAGCCGCAACCCTTGCGCTGCACCTTCTGCAGCGGCGTGACGCGCCGGCCCCGCGGCGGCAGCAGGAAGGAGAGCGAGCCGGCGATGAGCATGTGCCAGAGCGAGTGCGTGTAGTAGTAGTTCTTGTCCGTCTCCACCACCACGTAGAGCATCACGGCCGTCAGCGCGATGACGGTGCCCGGCAGCAGGAAGAAAACCCAGCGACGCCACGACGGCGGGTAGCAGTGCCGGCGCCGCACCATCCGCACCGCCTGCGCGCGGGCGCAACAACGCAAACACAAGAGCCGCATTACACCACACGCAACCTGCCAATCAACTGCGGTGTACCCACCTATACCACTGGGTAGACAGAGGTGGTGGGACATGGGGGGGGGGGGGAAATTAACTAAATTAGTTTCAACTGCCGTGCCGGGAGATCGAACCGAACCGGCGACCCCCGGATTGGAGAGTTCCCGTGGCGTAAAGATTCTCGCCGAGGGGTGCGCACGCTCTCTTGTGGTGGTGTGGCTGGCTGTGGTTCTGCACGGTGGCGGTGCGGTGCCTTGCCCAAGCGATCGCCAGCAAC